GTGTGGGTGTGTGTGCGTGTGTGTGTGTCTGATTGGGTGGGGGTGGGGGGGGGCGACCCATCCCCCACCAATCAATCAATCAATCAATCTATTGATCAATCAAAGAAAAAAAGAAAAAAAAAAAAATCTATGTGTTTTGAGTCTGGTTTTGTTTTTGATTTTTCAAAAATAATTTAAATACTCAAAAAATAAAAATAAAAGTTATAAAACTATGGGGATGTAGAGAGCAAAACAATCTACACCCCCATTTTTTTTAATGTTTTTTTTCCTTATTGTTAACCTGCAAAAAAAATATCCGCAGGCCGAGTTGAACCACGTTGTAACGGGGTATAACGCGGAGTTGAAACGGGAGACGCGGAGTTGAAACGGAAGTTCAACGAGAGCTGAACTGTTCAACTCGAAACCCCCGTTGAAAGCGGTTTCAGACACACAGCCTACCACCAGAGGATTGGAGGCCTTCACAGGATGTTAATCTCAAAAGCGAAAACAAAAAACAAAAAGAATATGGCAGACAGTAGTCATAATCGTGTGAGGAACCTTGTCTCCATGCATATATCGGATGTGTAACGGACCCGCCGGGAAGGTGGTCTGTCAGGATCAAGACAAAGGGATGAGGATGAAGGAGAAGGAGATGGAGCTGGAAGGGAAATGACAGCTCCAACGCAGATTCAAAACTCATGTACTCCAATGTGTGCAAATGAAGAATGACCCAGAATACAGACTGCAGTTGGGGGTATACCCGAACGAACTGACTGGACTGGATTGGACTGGCCTGGTACCGACAGTGGTACAGAGCATGATTGGACTAGACTGAAACAACACACGGCTTCTGGGGTCGGACCACGGCTCGATTCCATAGGCCGAACTGGCAAATAGCCGAATAGGCCCTGTTTGTAGGCAAGGGCAGATAGAGACCCGTTGCACGATCCTCGGACCTGTAATGGATTGAAAGAGCCAAAAACACGCTATCCGCAAAAGCAGCGGAACTTTACAATAAAGAAAGATGAGAAATCTAGGATGCGGAGCACGGTCCATGCGGAGTCCATGCGATGTAGCCTAAGCTACATAATGTCAACTGAAAAGCGAATGTTTGATATGCGCATCCTAACTATCAGCAGGAAATGAAATGTAACATGATACAATCCTAAAGTCCTAGAGGCAATGACCTCAATGCTGAAAGGGAAAAGAGCAATATGTCACAAGTGATGTTATATCGCTGAACCACTAAGAGTGGGATGGTTTCAGAAGGGGTGAATGCAGTCTAATAATCGAAACTCCTAAAGGCGGTCAGACACGAGGGTGGGATAGGTCATCAGATTTAAGGTGAGAGAGTGGTAGCGAAACAAAACAAATGACCCTAACAGATAAACCATCAAGATGGGTAATGCTCGACAAAAAGGTGATACAATGCAGGGTCGACCATGAGAAGGGGAACTTGGAATAAGGTGGAGATATGCCTCTAACTGAAGGCATGCTAGAGCCACAATAGGGTGATGAGGGCAGTGGGTGAGGGAAACATGCACACAACTCACCAACTGGGGGAGGAAGGAGTTAGATCTGGGAGCAGGGAAGCTAAGGGAGAGAGGGAAAAAGGGGAAGTAGAATGGATTAGTGATGAGAGAGGTGAAACCCAACTCTTGGGTGACCAAAAGCAAAAGATTTCACCAAGATCCACAAGATCTTGACCTTCATACACCCCTTGGGAGAAGGGGTCTTCAAGGTGGTGTTGAACTGCTGCTGCAGCAGTTTGATCTGATCTGAAGGATCAAATATGTTGATGGGCTGACTGAGATCTTGATCAGCCACCTGGCTCCACTGTAGTGCAGCCCCCTAGCCAGAGGGGGTCTTCAAGAATCCTCAGCAAGCTGCCACGTGACATTTTTGGAGAGGTAGAGTGCAAACTCTTTTGCTAATAACTTTTCACCAACTGGGTGAAATTAGGCAAAAGAGGACTTGTTGGAAATCTTTTTGAAAGCCTCTTCCAACGAGATAAGGCGCAGCATCAACCACTGCCTGCAGTAATAGCTCTCGTTGAAAAACTGAGTGCGGGTGGTTCTAGGAGCTTCAAAAAACAAATTGTGATTTGT